CTAATGACCCGGACCCGGATCGTGCATGTATCATGAAACCATGCTAACTGCCTGTGAAAAATCCGATCTCGTACAAACCATGACGTACATCAAGCTTCCTACTATGCTCGCATATGGAGTTTTCGACATCAACTCTCTATCTTCAACTGTCTTCGGTAAAAGGTCAGCTAAAAGATTCAAATAGGCTCCCAAAGGTACACTGACTGGCTTCGTCTCCATGCTCACATTGAATCGCTGTAAAATCTTCTTCAAATATGCTACCTGTGTCAAACTAATCCTGCCCTTATCTCTGTCTCTGTCAATCTCCATCCCTAAAATGCACTTCGCTTCACCCAAAATTTTCATCTCAAACTCGCTCGAAAGCTGAATCTTATGGTGGATCTGGAAATAGAAGCAACCAACATGTCATCGATATAAAGCAATAGTAAATGTACGTACCTCCATGCAACTTACGATAATACACGCAAGGATCAAACTGGCTCCTAATGTACGAATGGCCGATCATGAACCCATTAAATCACATATACCACTGTCTCGGAGATTGCTTCAACCCGTATAGCGATTTCTTAAATCTACACACCAATTTCTCCTTTCCGACAGCTCGAAACCCCAATGGCTGAGTCATATAAATTTTTTCATCAAGATCACCATGAAGAAAAATTATTTTCACATCCAACTGATTCAATCTAATCCATACTGTGCCACCAAAGCTAGCAAGATCCGAATCGAATAGTGCTTCACCACCAGAGAAAAGACTTCATTGTAGTCAATACCTTCTTCTTGTGCATAACCCTTCGTAACCAATCTAGCCTTAAACCTCATGGGAGTACCCTAAATGCCCTCCTTCTTCGTATACACCCATTTGCAACCAATAGCCTTCCTCCCATTTGGAAGCTCAACAAGCTCCCATGTGTCATTCCTATGAAGAGACTCTATCTCCTCCTGCATAGTCTCCTACCACAAATCAGCCTCTGAACTCTACTCAGCCTCTTTGAATGTAGTAGGAACCATCTCGTCGACACTCTCCATCGGAAGTGCATATGCAACGGCTGTGTCTGTATACCTCACTGGCAACCATATGTCTCTTCTCGGTCTTCAAACTGTAATCAAATCCTGAACCTGAGCCGTCGGTCCCTGATCCTGCTTTGTCATACCTGTATCCTCCAAATCATCACCGTGCTCACCTGGCATCATCTCAGTCGGCACTCTAATGAATACGGTCCCATCTGGACTCTGTGGAGCTGCATTAATCTCCACCACCTATGATATCTTCTCTGTCGGGGTGCTCTCCACCTGATGAGAGCTGATAGGCTTCAAGAGCAAAGCCTCATTGAATGTGACGTCTCTACTCAGCATAATTTTTTCTCAACTTGATCCCAAAGCTTGTATCCTTTCACACCACACTTGAATCCTATAAATATGGTCTTCCTAGCTTGAGGTTCCAATTTATCAGTTCTGGCATGATAAATTACAGGACACCCAAATATCTTGAGCTGATCATAGTCGTGTGCTGGCTCTCCTAACCATATCTCCATAAGGATTTTCTTCTCAATCACAGATGAAGGCAGCCTATTAATGAGGTGGCTCGCATACGAAAGTGCCTCAGCCCAAAATATCTTTTCCAAACTACTCTGTGATAACAAACATCAGACATTCTCCAGTAAACACCGATTCAACCTCTCTGTCACCCCATTCTATTGTGGTGTATGGTTAAGTGTGAAGCACCTCTCTATGCCCTCGTCTCGACATAGCTGCTAAAAGGGGTCTGAAGTGCACTCGTCACTATTGTTGGATCTCAACATCTTGATCTTTCTCCCTATCTGCAGTTCCAATCTTCTCTTCTACTCCACAAATATCTCTAAGACTTCACTCTTCTTCGCTATGGTGTACACCCAACAACGCCTAGAATAGTCATCTACAAATGTGACGAACTAATGTCGACCACTAAGTGATATCATCTTGGTAGGACCCCAAATATCCGTGTGCACATAGTCCAAGATGTTTGTCATCGTATGAATGGTTGTCCCTAACTTCACTTTAGTCTTCTTGCCAAGAACATAGTGCTCACAGAATTCAATCTTCCCACTCTTGGCTCCCTTCAATAGCCCTTGTTTGCACAATGGCTGCAGTGATTTTTCACCTGTGTACTGCCAAAGTTTGCTCGTGTTCGCCTCTAAAACCGCTGAAGCTACCTGGCCAATCTTGATGCTTCCCTTTAGATAATATAGGTTCCTACTGCAGACTCCCTTCATCACTACCAAAGATCCCTTAGTAACTTTTGTTACAAGGCTCTCAAAAGTCACCTTGAATCTTTTTGCTTCCAAAGCTCCAACGAAAATAAGATTTTTCTTCAGCTGAGGAACAAATCTCACTTCATTCAACTCATGAACAACTCCGTCATACATCTGAATCATGATGGTACCTATCCCACAAATACCACAGGACTGATCATTTCCCATGACCAACACACCCCATCGAGCTTCTCGAAAGATGCAAACCAATCTCGTCGGGGTGTCACATGATAAGTAGCACCAAAATCCAACATCCAATCCGATGCATCAGCATGGTTAACCTCTAGAGTAATCAATAGAAAAAAGCATGAATCATTTAAATCGTTACCACTCTTAGTAACATTCACCTCGCTGGCATTCGTGCCCTTCTTCTTGCTATTCTCTTTCTCTCTAAACTTCGGGCAATCTCTCTTCCAATGTCCTTGTTCTTTGCAAAAAGCACACTGATTCTTCACTAATTGGTAGTAGCCTCTTGACTTTGACCTGCCTTTGTTGTCACCTCTCGAATAGGGACTCCTACCTCTCGTCGACAAGGCCTATCCTGAAGTGCTAGCTCTGGAAGATTATTTATCCTTCCTCCCCAAGTCGAAATTCGTCAACGCATTAGTCATTTTACTATAGGTGATGGAAGATCTACCCTTCAATAAAGTGAGCACGAATGTATCATTCTCCTCATCGGGTAAGGAGCCTAATAAAATAATCACCTTATACTTATCTGATATCTTCTCATCCACATTCTCTAAGTCTGACAACAACTTTGTGTAGTTATTCATATGATCTGCAAGTGAGGTACCATTGGACATCTGGAATCTGAACAATCTTCACAGCAAGTGCAACCAATTCTCAACACTCTTCATAAGATATTTGTTGTTGAGAATCTCCCACATCTTCATCGCAGATGTCACATCGATCACTATGTACATCAACTCTTGTTCCAAACAAGATCTTATTACCCTACAAGCGTTTCGATTCATCTTGTCCTATTGGTGGCCTCTCATGGACCATGATAGTCTCCACTAAGTTCTGAGCATTCAAAGCATCCTGCACATCACTCATCCACAACCCAAAGTTGATCTTTCCATCATAATTCACAACACTGATCTTCGTATTCTGAAGTGTAACCTGAACTGTACTTGCCATAGCCTTGCTGTTTTCACCACTATCTCCTGCCATTGCTTGCTAACTCTAAATTATAGAGAAAATTCAAACAACTGATAGAGTTGAGAAATTACCCAACTTGAATCCTAGATTAGATTCCAACACGAACTCCCAACCATACGAGGAACGTGAGATCTCCAACTGGCAACTCCACAATGCTATCTCCACCAAAGCCTAGATCTCCAATATCCAAGCTTCCAACAACGAATCTTCCTCCATCCAAAAAAAAACCCTAGGTCTGAAACCCTAGCCTCTCATACCAATTGTTGTGCGTCGGCAGAATCGTAGTCGTGAACCAAAAACCCACATGAGTCGGCGAGCAACGGGAGGAGAACAACCAACGAGTGCAATTCATAAAAGAATGACACAAATCAATCACAAACATAGAGATTTATGTGGTTTAAAAAATTGCATATATCCACGGGGAGACGATAGAGAGTTTTCACTATATGGAGGAGAAAAACAATGGGTTACAACTCTCAAACACTCAAAATAACCCTCACCAAAAGAACTCAACTCACCTCTCAGAAATCTCCCTCTCAAAGTGCTCAAAACAATCTTTTTTTCTCTCCACAAATCTCTTCTAAAACGTTCTATATATATAGAAACCCTAAAATCAAAACAGACTAGGAATCCAACAATTTTAAAACCAAAACCAAAACAAACTAGGAATCTAAATAATTCTAAAACCAAAACCAAAACAGACTAGGAATCCTGTTTGGCCCAATAACCTGCAATCCAACAAATATTCCCAAGCACATTCTTAGGAGTCCTTGAGATTTTTCCAATGTCATGTTCTTGAGTGCTTCAAATTGGAAGGAATCACCTTACACTAGTGGATTTACACCTTTTAGCGACGGACAATTCCGTCGCTAAAGGTCTAAATTCCGTCCCTATAACTTTTAGCGACGAAAAAAAAAAACAAATTTCGTCACTAAAAAACCGTCCCTACATTAAGGGTCCCTAATTGTATCTTTAGCGATGGAAATTTCGTCGCTAATTTTAAGCGACGGGATATTAGCGACGGTTTTTTGTCGCCATATTTTTTTAAAAAATAGAAAAATATTAGTGATGAAAAATTCCGTCGCTAAAAGTGTTATTAGGGACGGAATATTCGTCAGTAAAATTTGTATTTATTATTTTAATTTTTTCCCGTGTCCGTTTTCCGTTGCTAAATATATATTTAGCGACAAAATTCCGTCGCTAAAAAGATATTAGGGACAGAATATCTGTCGCTAAAAGTTGTATTTATTATTTTAAATTTTTTGTGTCCGTTTTCCGTTGCTAAATATGTATTTAGCGACGGAAAATCCGTCGCTAAAAATAACCACTATTTTTTAAAAAATATTTTGAAAATTGAAAAAAACCATGTACAATATCGATAATAAATTTAAAAACCCTTTTAAATTAGCAGTATAATATTCAATCTCATGCATATATCACACATTTATTTTAATAAAAACAAATAAAAGTTTCTCAACATGTACATAATAAATATTGTTTATACAACATAAGGAGTTATTTTCAAAGTTAAATTAATTACAATCAATCCTCCTGATCATCATCATCATCCTCAACACCAGCTGCACTATGACTACCCCCGGCTGCACCTTATGTAGAAGTCCCGGCCTACAAATATAAATCAAACATTAACAAGGGTGTGTAACCGTTAATAAGAGTGTGCACATATAAATATAATTCCCCCAACACCACAACACAACACAACACCAAAACACCACAACACAATAATACAATACCACAATACAACACAACACCACAACACAACACAACACAACACAACAACAACAACAACAACAACAACACAAATCCCCCAACCCCACCCACCAACCAACCACACTCCCCCCTCCCCCCACCCCTCCCCCTCAACCACCACCACAACCAAATCCCCACTCCTCCTCCTCAACCACGACCAAAGCCCAAAACATTATAAGTATATATTTTGGGCTTTGTGTTAGGGTTAGAGTTAGGGTTTGTGTGTAACAGTTTGTATCAGTGTGTATCGGTATGTATGATATCATTTAGTCATGAAGAAAATTCATAACTAAGTAAAAAGTATATATTTAATTCATTTAAATAAAAAAAATAAAGTATATATATTACCTGATCCGATATAAACCATCTTCTATATGCCTCCTGAGCCTCCTAAGGCAGAGTCGACATGAAATGTGTGAACTCCAATTCTCTCTGCTCCCGACGCCTCCATTCTTCCTCCGCAATCCATTGATATGTTGTTTGCTGTGACTGTCAATCTTCAATCGTTTTCAACCACTGCTCCATCGAGTCTTGATATGAACTGCTTCTTGGTGTTCCTGGTAGTGCTGCAGACTCGTAGGTGCTACTAGACTCGCGGCCTTTGCTCGGATCCTCTCCACCGCTATCTGTTCTTCCTACTCGGTCCAATGACCGTCTCGATGATGGAGTCCTCCTCCTCTCCGCTTAGCCGGACAGGAGTGTTAGAGCCGACCTGAGACTGAGACATTTGCTCATGTACCTTGGCATGTAATTTCTCCTACGATATATCAAAACAACCCGGGCAAGTCGACTTACTAATGATGCATTATTATAAAATTGAATATATAATGAACTGCTACTTACAGCCAGATCCTTATTCTTTGCTTTCTTCTCTTCATCGGCATAATTCGGGCTCCAGGAAGTCAGAATACGATCTGCAAAATGTCCGAGATCTCCTCTTCCCTATTTTATTCAAATATATCATTAACTCATAACACATAAATTATACTCAACTTGACAACTTAAAAGCTAATATATTATATACCTCAAGCTCCAATTGATGATAATGCTGACTGAAGGACCTGGAGCCCCCGTGATGCTCGTAACTGCGGGGCGCATTGTAGTTCCTCCTTGCTATTTCAGCTTGAGCCTACAAAATAATGTCAAATCAAAATAATATAGAAATTCAAACAATAAATGAAAATCTATACTTCAATAGTACCTGAATTTTAGTCATGTCCCAGTAATCACAAAGTGCAAAAAAATCTACTCCATCTACGCGCTTGTCAAGATGCCAGAAGCACTCACAATCTTCTGTTATTTGAACAAAATATTTTTTCTTTACCTCAAACCGCCATCTCTTGAACGATAGATTGATTTGCGCGAAGCAGTAAGTCCAGGCACAAATATTATCGTCAAGAAAGAAAAATTGCTTCAGCATATAAAGAAAAAAGAGATACAAATCAGTGTACTAAACATAATAATAAACTAATAACTAATAATGATGAAAATTAAAATAAATGACTCAAACATATATATCTCCAATAAGCCACCAGTGCATCAATTTGCTGCGACTTTCACGTCAAAAAAATATTAAAGAAATCATGTCTCCTGGCTAAAACGGCGAGGAAATTGTTGACTAATATAACAATCAAATAGGAGATTTTTTTGCGATAACCAAGTTTGCGACAATCGAGTTTGCGAGGAAACTTGTAAGTCCTTGAGCCAGTTGTGTTCGGAAGAGGTTTGGTGGCTTTAGTCCTAGCGTTTTTGCGATAACCGAGTTTGAGCCATCACATCCTATCAGAATCTGATGAATAATATAACATTCAAATAGGAGATTTTTTTTTTCAAGTTCAAGAACTAATGTCATGGTTTTTAGTATTTGTTTTACAATGTTTTTGCTTCGAGAGATTTTTACCTTAGTTCTTATGATGCTACCATCTGCAACATGGACAATGGGAAAGGAGTTAACAGGATCAGTTGCGATTGCTACAACTTGAAACCCAAATTGGATGGAGTCAGCAGGCAGACTGTTAGCCAAGGTATCGATGAGATCACTCCTTTTCACGCATCGAAGCCCTTCTTTGCTATTAAAAAAAAGATGGACATGTTTGCTAAAATATAATTGGGGTGCACCTAACCTAAGAGTGACAATGCTAATTTGAAATTGGGATAGATCAATTATACCTTATTCGTTCTACTCCTGTCCCATCCTTGTGTACCCATTTGTTATTGTTGGGGCGGGGTCACGCCCACCGCCGCGGAAGCGACATCACCTGAGAGAGAGCCCTGGCTATTGTTGTCACAAAAGCACAATTCAACCCTTATATTCTTGTTTCTCAAAGGAAACTAGAATAGATAGTGAAATTCTTATTTCTCAAAGGAAACAAGAATCGAAAGTGATATATTTCATCAAAGTGAAATATACACTCTTCCTCTCATCAGTTCAAGGACTAAAATATCGTCAAAGTGAAATATACACTCTTCCTCTCATCAGTTCAAGGACTAAAATATCGAGGGAACCTACAAGCTATGATAACTCACAGATAAGACAAATACAAACACGGGATTTTTACGTGGTTCGGCAAACTAGCCTACGTCCACAGGAGGGGGTTTCACTATGGAGGAAAAATACTAAACTTATACAAGTTTTCTCTTCCTCTCTTTCTTTTCTCTCAAAAAACTCCACTTGAGATTTTTTCCACTAATTTCCCCACACCAAAAACACCTCCACCCCTTCTCTATTTATAGGAAACCAAAGAGGGGGGAACCAAAAAATTTGGCGGACTCAGAAGCGCGGGAACAGGAGCGCGCGCGGTAGGGGAAAAAAATCCCGCGGGAGAAATTCCCGCGATGAACTTTCATGGGCGCGCACGTCTGCTCGTGAGCAGACTCCCACGTGGGTGGGCCTGGGCGTCCACAATTCTCCACCTCGTACATTATTTGATAAACCTCAAATTTTGGACGAACACCAGAAGAACCCCACGAACTCCACCAGAGAGATATCCAGGCCAAACCAGGCCAAACCAGCTGCATCACTATACCAAGACTGCCTACGTACCCTCCACCGGGATCAAGCTAACCGTAGTTCTGAAACTATTCTCCAACATAGTCTCCACCTCACCTCCATCACCGTCCCGCAGGGCCATGCCCTCTTGGGCAACTCAACACGGGCTGATATGAAGCAAGTCCAAGCAATACTGGAACTTGCTACCTGTCACCACATTGGTTAACATGTTTGCGGGATTCTCATTCGTATGCACCTTCATGAGAGAAATATCGCCTTCCTCTATGACATCCCGCACAAAATGATACCTGACATCGATATGCTTGGTACGAGCATGGTGAACTTGATTTTTTGTCAAGTGAATCGCACTCTGACTGTTGTACCACAAGTTCACGCTCTCCTGCTCAACCCCCAAATCGTCTAGAAGACCCCACTGTAGGATCTGAAATAGATACACTTGAACACTAGAGGGGGGGGTGAATAGTGTTCTTTTAAAATTATTGCAAAGTAGATAATAAATTGCAAAGAAAAAAATGGCAATCTCAGAAATTTGCAAACACAAACACAAGGATTTTATACTGGTTCCACCAAACTGGTGTACATCCAGTCCCCAAGCAAATCCCGCTTGAGAGTTTTCACTATGATTTTGAATAAACTTACAAAATCAAATGCAAACCTGACCAATTTGCAAGTCCCTGCAAATTGCAACACCAATTGACAAACTCCTTGTCAATTTGAACACCAATCTCTAACCCAAGAGACTAACCCTCTCACAACCGAGAGAAAACTTGTTGAAGAAGAACACAATGATCCTATAAGCCTTAAATGTGTAATAATGTGCAGCAGTGGCTTAGGATTCTTTTAATCTCTGTAAAATTGCCTAATTGATTTGTTTTTGATGAAAGTATATAGGCAATTTCAGAAACTCTTCTTTTTTAGAAAATCAGAATGTTTTTCACTTGGAAAATTGCTCAAGAATCAAAGCTTATGGGTATGTATGTGTCTCCAATTTTTCTGAACAAATAACCTATATATACCCCTTGAAAAGACAAGTTTTTAAAGTTTGAAAACGTTTAAAAACGGCCAAAAACTGTCAGATATTCAAATTCTGAAAACTGAAAAACTGTTTCTTGTAGTCGACTACTGTAGTCATTAGTCGACTACACTGAGTTCAGACAGACTCTGTGTTTTCGGAAAATGTTCTCAGTAGTCGACTATAATGATAATTAGTCGACTACACTGAGTTCAGACAGAAACTTGAAAACTTATATTTTTCTTCAGTAGTCGACTACTGTAGTCATTAGTCGACTACACTGTAAAAAGACAGAAACTTATGTTTCTGTCAAACATCTCAGTAGTCGACTATAATCTCTATTAGTCGACTATACTGTAAAAAGACAGAAACTTGTATTTGAGTTATATACATGAGTAGTCGACTACTATCCTAATTAGTCGACTATTAAGATCAAATATTCAGAAATAATGAGTTTTTATAATTAAGTTTTAACTACTATTCTAATGGTTAACATAGGGGATTTCTATAGTTAACCAACACACTAAGCCTGTGTTAGTGTGTTCTAAAAATGTGTGTGTGTGCGTGTGTGTGATCAAGGCTTGTACAAATATTCTAAGCAAAGAAAAATTCAAATACATTATCTTTTGTTCTTCATTTTCTTCACTTCAAAATGCCTTGATATTCACTTGCACTTGTACATATTCTGATATTGAAATCTGCATATGAAAGTTAGTGCACACAAAATATAAATTGTTATCATCAAAACATTATCATGGAGAAATGATATTCAACATTCTCCCCCTTTTTGATGATAACAAATAATTTATGCATCATATTAAATTTTAAAACATGTAATACTTACTCCCCCTGCATATATGCAAAGTTTTTAACATTCATAATAAAAAATATAAAACTTAACTATTTCTCCCCCTTTGTTATCAACAAAAAGAAGAAGAACCTAAACATAACATAATTTCGTCAACATGAGTTAACACTTCAAACAAATCATCAAGGTTATGAACATAGTCCATAACTTCACCCATCCATATTGGTAGGCAAAGACTTGCCATAAAGACCACAAGTTCCATAATGTTCATCACCATTATCTGTTTAAAATATATAGCAGTTATATTAACGAACAAAATAGTAGCAAACTTAACACATATAATAGCAAACTTTTCATAATAGCAGGCTTAACACACAGTTATATTGTAGCAAACTTGACATAAAAGCAACATAACCACATAGTTTTAAACATAATAACAACCACATAGTTTTAAACATAAGAACATAATTGTTTTGACCAAAAAACAGAAACAAATTCTAAGGTGCTGGAGGAGGTTGTTGGCCTTGAAAATATGAATTAAGCTTTGAGTCCAAGTCTTCAAACTTTTTGATTAGGTCTTCTTGATTGCTGATGATATATCTGTTTTGTGCATATATAGCTCGTTGACCTGTTTCCAGTTCTAGGATACGTGCACTCAAAGTATTGTATTGCACGTCTGAAAAACATGAAGGTTCAGTAGGAAATGGTGGAGGTTGACTTGAAGAGGCTCCAGCTTGAGTTGAGGTTTGTGGAATATCTTCTTGTTGAAGTTCAGGTTCATTTTGAACAGGTTCATTTTGAGGATTGTGATCTTGGATTTCAAAATTTGTCAATTTCATCCTAGTTAGGGCATTTGAATCAAAAAATTCAATTGAACGGACAACAGATTTTTCAGATTTGAGATCAACATGGAATTTATCAAAGATCTTAGTCAGGAATGCACCATAAGGAAGAAATCCTCTAGGAATGGTCAGAAAATTATCAAAATAAACCTCAGCCCAATTAACTTGAATATTTCCCATAATAGCATATATAGCTTTTGCTAATTCTAGG